CTTTTCTCGGAGCAGTCTGAAAGCCAGTGATTGCTTGTGAGGATTTCTAAATGTGGTGCAGATGTGTGTTACTCATGGGTGATCCTTTTGCCTCTCCATTTTCAGAACTGCCGGAAGCTGAGTGAGGATGTCCAAAATGCCATCCTTGCAGTAGCCACGGTGTATTACTGGCTACCCAAGGGCCAAGGTGAGATAATGACAGAAAGGCAGTCACTGCTGTATAGGATGGTGGTTCTTTGACCACCACTATGTAGAAAAACTGAGTGTTTCAGAGCTAACGAGTTCTGGAATCAGCAAGTTTTCATTAGCATGGTATCCCATTATCAGCTGTTCTGTAGACTTTGAACGTGTTTATGAGTGAGGTACTTGTCTGTCTGCTGCTGCAGTTTTCCATCTGTGGGAGAGTGATAATGTAGGAAGTTGTGTAGTTGACTGAGCATTGAAGTTCATGCAGTGTCGAAATCCTTGTCCAGAGTTTTTTTTGGAACTGGGAAGCATTTTCCTTTCTTCAAATGACTTCATTTATACAGTGTATCCACACAAACAGAGCAGTCTGTGTGTTCATCCTCAGCACTTGCTTCCTGCCAGTGCTGACTTTGTGCCAACTTTCTTGCTCTTTCTCAATCTCAACCAGGTACTACTCTTCGGAAGATGGTTCGAGATGCTACCACTGAAGTAGTGGAAGGGATGATCCAACTCACAGACACAATTCTCAATGCTCCAGTGGAGAGGTTGTAATTTTCAATTGCATGGTTCTGTGATTTTTTTTTAAATTTTTGGGAAAAAGGGCAAGAAAAAGTTGCAAATATGCTTGTTAGGAAGCAGCAAGACCTTTACACGGACATGCCATACTAGTGATAAGCTGGTTGGTGACATCTTTGCAGCAGAACTTTTGCTGGTGTTTATCATCTTTGATGCAGAAAATTTAACCACAGTCTAGCACAATGCTGTTATTGACTCTAACCTTGAGGGTTTTGTTTTGTTTCATTTCAGCTTGTCTCAGGAACAGCTAATATCAACTGGAGGTGTGTGGGAGGCCTGTGAGCAAGTGTCTAACCTGCCACGAGGTGAGTGTTGTAAATGCAGAGCAATAGCACTAGGACGTATTGTCTTGGAACATCAGTAGCTTTTGCAAGGACATTCCAGCTGGTACAATGAAGGCTGAATGCAGAATAACTCAAAAACCTGACTGGTTTTGAAATGTATAAGCTTGGAAACCAGGTCAGATTATTTGCCTGACAACAGTGCAGCTCTGAGCTCTGCAAGAAGTTTGATCCTACAGTGATTGCAAGCCTAGATGGAGGTTGTTGCACACTGACTGGAAACAGTGAGGTGCCACAGTTTTTGTCCTTTTGCTTTTGCAGATAACCAGGCAGCAGTTGTGTCAGCTCTGACTTCATGTCTAGGTGTGGTCAAGGATGCTGTGGAGGAGATGGAACAAGTAAGGAGGCCCCTAAGCCTTAGAGGAACCTGCAGTGGTGGATTCATAGACTCAGAATATTCTGAATTGGAAGGGATACACAAAGATCATCAAGTACAGCTCCTAGCTCTGCACAGGACAACCCAAACAATCCCACATATGCCCGAGAGTTGTCCAAATGCTTCTTGAACTCTGGCAGGTTTGAGGCTGTGACCACTTCTCTGGGGAGCCTGTTCCTGTACCCAGCCACTTTCTATGGTGATTCAGTGATGGAACACAGGAATTATTTTACATACAGGCTTTAATATAAATTTGTTCTGACATGACATAGATTATTGTTTTATGCATGGATTTTAATGACTTCTTAGTCTCAAGTCTGGTTTACTTTGTATAAGATTTTTGTAAAGCCATGTCCTGAACTGGCGACAAGGGAGGCAATTTAGGATCATGTAAAAATTCACCAGATTATTGCTGTTTGCACTGTTAGAGTGGTGGTTTTTCTTAATTCAGTCATTTTAGGATTAAACAACTGAGATTTCTCCTTTAATTATTTATATGATATCTAGATTATGTTTTCCCTTTCCTCCTGGGTATTGCTGGAATTGATGTTAGGCTCTGGGTTTTCAGTGCCTCTGTGTTCTCAGGCACTGGTGGAAGGGCAGGATCCCTATGGGGACATCATGGAAGATGAAGAGCTGGGCTTTCGGGGAAACAGAGACACATATTGGTCAGAGGCTGACCGACAGCTGCTCAGCTCCTGCATGGGATTGATGAAGGCTTCTAAAGCTTGCCTGAAGAAGGTCTTGGCTGCAGTGAAAGCCCATGGCAAAGCTGATTCTCCAGAGCACATTGCACAGCTGGATGACCTGGCAGACATTGCTAATGAGATCAGCCCAAGGTAAGCAGGGTTCTCCCCATGCTGTTTGTCCCTCTAGAGCAGTCTTGGTCTTTCTTTGAGGTCTTGATGAGGAGTAGGAAGATCCTCTGTGATACTGGAGCTGTGAGCAGGTTGGGGACACAGATGTGGTGGGAAGGCTGTTAAGCTGTTGAGGGTTGAGTAGGTCAGGAGAGAAGCATAGGGGATGGAGCTGTGACCACATCTCATTCCACAGTGAGGGGGACACACAGGTGACAGAGAAGGCAGTGGGAAGCATCCTGTAGGTACAGTTGACATCTCACTGTTGTTCCTGAGCTGCATTCAAGATGGGTGCAGGCTTTGACCAGGATCTGTGAGTTGTGCTATCAGAACATTTCTTCCTTGCTCCCCTCTTTTCTGTTGTAGTGTTGATGAGCTGGCACTGAGCATGTACCCACCTGTGAACCCGTTGGCTGTGCGACTTAACGTGAGTATCTGCAGTACTGATACCTCAGTATCTGAGTATCTGCCTGTGGGACAGTGGCCTGGCTGTGGGGAATGGGAAGAAAACAGATTGGAGGGGTTATATGGCTTCACAGAGAGATGGGTGCTAGTAACTGCCTCAGAAATAATTTCTAAAGGATGAAGAGTGCCCTTTGTTCTTGTACATTTAACTTCCTTCAAGTGGAAACAAATTCTTCATCTGTACCTCTTCAGGGAAGAGCATGGCCACTTAAAACTTCAGCTCTGAACTATAACCCATAGGGATTTCCAGTGATACAACCTCAGCAAAGTGAGTCTAAGGCTGCCTAGGTACTGCAGATGTACTTCTTTCCTTGGGTAGTGCAGTCTTGCTCAAATAAAGTTATCTATGAAGTGAATAACTCTTACAGTGAGTGTATTTAAACACTGAAACAAGCTGCTTGGAGAAGCATTGGAGTCTGCATCTTTGGCAACACTCAAAACTTGACTGGGCAATGCTCTGGCAACCTGACTGAACTTTGAAACATTCCTTGCATCATAAATCAAGTACAAATATCCTCCTATATGGGATTTCTTTTATTCTTAATCCTAGTTTCATGCCTTTGGCCACTGGCTTGATTTTTTTGGAATAAAAAAATAATTACTTAATATCAAATTGCATTAAAATCCATCACTTGCAACTTTGTACTTTAATATCAATTACTAATTTCTAATAGGCTGATTTTTTAAAGGTATTTAATGTATGCTTAAAAAAATAGCCAGTTTTTTTTACGTGTCAAAGCCAGGAGTAGGTTGGGAGACACTTTCAGCATGGCAGTGATGGATAACTTCATTCTGCATCAGGATCTATGGCAGTTTTATTCATTCTTGACTTCTGTGCATCCCTATAGTCCTCTTTATTTTCCAGTACTGTTCAGACCCTACTTTTCCTCACATTTGGCTTACCTTATTTCCCTTTTGTTTCTTTCTAGGCTGCTAAGCTGGCCTCAGTATTAAAGAAAGTCTTAGAGATTGCAAAGTGAGTATGAGCTAGTTTTGTAAGTGTGTGTTCCCTGCTATGAAGGTTGATACCTTTCTGCCTCATGTCAAAGATGACTCATTCCTAGACAGTAGATGCTGGCATTTTGGAACAATGATGATGTTACATAGTTAAAAAGGGATGGGAGTAAGAAAAAGATGCTAGGGATGATAGTGGTTCCCTTGTTTTGCGTGTGGGACTGCAGACATGAGTGTGAGCTCTTCCTTGCTCAGAGCGCTCTGGGGCTAGAGCAGCCCTGTTTTACTGCTGTGGTTCACAATACCCCTATGTTGCTTGGATGCATGACACACCAGGAGGCTTCCCTAATGAATTTCCTCCACTTTTGCAGGACAAGCCATGTATGTCCACCATCAGAGGAAGGCTGGGTGCAGTTTCTAAGTGGTGCTGTGGATCACAACATGAACAAAGTCAAGAACTTCACACAGGGTCAACTTTAACTCTTCTGTGCCTACAAGTGTTGCTGCCACTGGCCCTGGCATTTACATTTCCAGTGACTTTGCTGTGCTTCAGCTGTTTGGAAAATTATGAGAACAATGTAGGAGAGAACTTCACTGCTACTTGGAAGAACTTCTCCAGGAAGTTGCCCTTTGCCATGGCAGAAGGTGTCATTTTGCTTGGATTCTTGGGATGATGCAGTGCTGCTTCTTAACATGCCCCATTCTTCAGACATTACAACTACTGCAGGGTTCAGAGAAAAATAAAATATTGCTAGATTTACATTAGTTACTTTTATCTGTCTTCAGAGGGCAAAGGATATATACAGAATGAAAGGGTCATGCTCTTTTGCAAGCAGCTCAATGAATAATTATAAAATGTGCTGCACTGCTGCTATTTCCTGTCTAACCTTAGAGAGCAGTGAATGAGCTTTCTCTTTATTTTCTCAGAAAGCAGCAGAAAACACTGTTTACTCCCTTACCAATGTCAAGGATCTACAGGGAGAGATATCCCCCTATATATATATCCCTAGAGACATGCTACATCTATCATCACTTTAAGGTTCCAGGATACCTTTTACTCTGTCACAGGTAGGGCAAAAGACTTAAGCACTGGTGGGCTCAGCACAAGGTGTGGTGAGAACTGCAATGTCTGCTTCAGCATTCAACCCATCTTTGTCACATTGAGGTTGAACTTTTAAAACTGGGGAGTGGATGTGGTGGCAGATGGGAGAGAGTTGGGTTTGTGCAAATAATCAAAATCTGACATGTTTTTAAATATGACTTTTATTAAGCTGTTAACATCTATGCTTGCCAATGATCAGGGCACAGATCATGGCCACTCTTTTGTAAGGACCTGTTCTGAGCTGGGCCTCAGGCAGCTGCAATGTTGGTGGTTCTGTAGCTCTTCAGGTTCTGGAGCTGGAGGCAGGTAAGACGTGCAGTGAGTCTACTGGGCCCTGCTCGAGTGGGGGTGAATGGGATTTGCAGCTCTTGAGTGCTTCTAGCTTGCACAGAGCCCAGCCTGAAAGGAGAGAAAGGATTATACAGGAGTCACCCCTCTTTGTTTTTAGTTTCCTGTGTCTGGGACATGCATTAGCTAGACAGGAATGTGGTGCCAAAAAGGAAAGGAAAAAAGAAATAGAAGAAAGCTGGTAGTTACTTGAATTATCACAGTAAAATTCATCTAACAGTAGAGTTGAAAGTCTCCATGGAGACATCTAAGGGGACTTTGTCCTACTGCAGCTTCTTTGTCATGTGAGGGGGAGCATGCCCCTTTGGTGGCTCTTGGCTAAGTCACATTTGCCTGGTTCTTCAGTAGAGAAGGGGAAGACACCACTGCCTATTGTTTACAGTGAGTAATGATGGAAAGATGTCATAAACAGTACAGTTTTACTCCACCTAAGAATGTTCAGGTTGCTCACTAGAAAGTAATTGATTTCTCAAGAGAAAATAATTTCTAAATTTCATAGCTCATTTCAGTGACTTCTAACTTTGTCTTGTTTTATGTGTGTTTCTGGCTAAGTCTTGGGACGTTTCTCTGGTTGTCCTTTTTGTTGGGAGGAGGTTTTCATTTTGCTGTCTATGCCTTTGATGTTGAAGCTTTCATAGATGCCATATTGGCTTCAACTTAGGTATTACACATCTGTTTAAAGTTCTCTTAGCTGGCTTTTCTCCATTTCAGTGTGAAAATCATCTGTATTTTGTGTAAATAAAGGATGGAATGCTTGGGGCTTTCATGCCATAGTGATGCCTTCCTACCATGTTCTTGCCTGGTTATTTTTGAAACAACCTTTCCTGTTCAAGGGTTTCTCTTGCTTGTATTGTGTCTCTTTTTCCATGTGCTGCTCTTGGATCAGTCAGTTTGCACTTACCTGTAATTCCTTTGTCTGTAAATGAGCCCTCGCCCTGCGACTGCTATCACACACTGCTCCAGGGGTTCTGTAAGGGGGTTCTGGAGGCTGATCTTTGCTGTGCTTGGCTCATACTGGACCATGTTTTCTGGGAACTGTTGAAAGAAGCAAATGAGCTGAAACTGAGAGAAGATGTATTCTTCTCTGATTAAAGGGAGATGTGTGATTTTTGCGTTTGCCTGAGCTGCTATTTGCCAGAAGAGGTAAAGTCCAGTTTAATTTCTGCTCTGGTTTCTCAGAAAGCCCCTGAACCCAGCAGAATTGTTTTGCTGCTTATGACTATGAAAGCCATTTTCTCCCTACTGCAGTGGCAGAATGGCAGCCCAGTCTTACCTCAATGGTGAGAGGGGAATCACAAAGGCTGATTTCTTCCTGTGCCAGGTACATGTAGGAGGAGTCCTCGTCTCTCAGCACAGCAGTCAACCTGAGCAAGTGGTTCTCTCCCAGCTCTTTTCCAAACCATGTGTAAGGCACAGAGACCCGCAGGTTATTGACTGGAACGGAGTGGTGAAATAACAGGTGATGAGTGCAGTCTGGTCTTTTCCTGCATGACACCTAGGAGTGTTCAGTGCCCAACATTATACTAAAAGCTGCAGCATTTAAATGCTTAAGTGACCCAAAGTGGATTTGCAGATTGAAAATCTCTAAGGTGATGTTGCCAAAGTGTTTTATTTCACAGAATGGGTGAGGTTGGAATGGACAATAGTGGATCATCTGGTCCAACCTCCCTGCCCAAGCAGGGTCATGACAGGGTACATGGCATAGGATTGTGTCCAGTTGGTTCTGGAATATCTCCCATTAGGGAGACTCCACAATCTCTCTGGGAAATCACCTAGAATCAACTAGGTTTACAACCTTTTGTAAACCTAGGGCTAGGAGAATTTCTATGAAATGAGAGCCTAGAGGACTTTTCTAGCCCTGTACCCCGGAGAGACCTTACCTGAATTGCTGTGGAGGTTAAAATGAAACTCTTCCTTCCAAAGTTGGGCAATGGGCACACCATTATAATGCAGAGCCTGGATCCCAGCTACCAAGTGAGTAGCCTTTTCTCTATCACTGTTGTTAAACACTTCAATGGAAAGTGTAATATCTTGTCCCAGTTGCAAAGAACTACTTGACTGGAAGTGGATGAAAAGGTTGAGTGGCTCTTCCAGAGCAGTAGGAATGAAGATAAACTGTGTGCTGCTGCTGGTTGTCTCAAGTTCCTTCATATTTCTATAGGCTTTGTCAAGTACTTTTTTTTCCTGGAGAGAACCTGTCACAAAAAAAAAAAAAAAAAGGAAGCACATACTTTGCTACTCTTTCCTGTTTACTAGTGAGAAGCAGCAGGAGAATGGCATTGATTTTTCCTGGTAGTACTGTAGATAGCTGTTTCTAAGAGCATAGAGAGAGATCCTTTTGTGCTTCTGGTTGGATCAGTCTGACAGCTTCAGCTGTCAGGATATTCACTGGATGTGCCTGACAGAGTCTACTTGGGAATAGTTGTCATAGTTTTTAAAACACCTTGGTGCTAGCATCTCTCTGAGTAGAGGAGGCAACTGCTTTTTTGTTGCTGTAGCTAAGACACAGTTCCATGTTCTCATGTGTAGAAAAGTTGCAGTTGTCTCCTGCAGCCATGGAGACAACAAGCCACAGCTTAAGATGGGGTGGTATGGTTGAGCCAGGGAAACAGCACTCAGAATCTGAAGGGGAGCTACTTGTTGAGGGAGTGATTTAGGCAGTATCTGAAAATACAACAGTCCTTTTGAGAAAGCTGGAGTCTGAAATATATCTATCCATGTTTATATTACAGAGGTAATGGGAAATGGACGCACAGAAAAGGTATTCCAGACATGGAAGTGCTTGGTGAACAAACAGCTGGTCTTCCAGACACCTCAATGCCATTAAGCAGGGTGAAGTTTGGGTGATGACCTCTGCTTTGGCTCTGTAGACAGAGAGAATCAGGTGTTCTAGTGCCACTGAAGAAGGGGAAGTAGTGAGAAGTGGATGACCCTGATGCTCTGGTTTGGCTCTGCTCTAATCTTTTACTCCTGACTCGCAATAGTAACAAGGAATGTGCTCAGCCCTGTGTCTGCCCCATACCTTCAGGGTACTTGTAGTTTTGTGTGATGTCCTCACAGCGCTCACTGCCCACGCTCTTGGTGCTGATGTTGTTACCAGTGTATTTTGTGCCACCAAAAGCTGGCTTGAGGGTGTCATCTGCCTTGTGTATCCAGACATGACACTTGGCATTGATGGCAGCAAAGAAGTAGCAGACATCATAATCAACTTGTGTGTCACCTTCCTTGATGGCATGAACAGGGGCTGGCCCACAGAAGGACAGACCTGAAGAGAAAATGTGGTCCAGTTAAGAATCAGATGCTTTCCCAACTAAACCCATCCCTAGTTTAGATCTACACTGGTGAAGTATCTTGTTTAGGAGGCCATTAGGAAGCAGTGATAGAGCTACATAAGCTGTACAAACCAAGCAGATAAATTATAATTTTGTACCTAAAGTCAACAGGGTGAGTGAATGCCTGTCTCTTTGCATCCTTCCACTGGAAGATGGGAAAGGAGGAATATTGAATGGTTTTATTTGCCCCTGCTTCACTTCCCCCTTGCTCTTGCTCAAGCCCATCTCTGGTATCTTACCTGTGCTTTTTTCCTGGCAGGTGGCATCCAGTGCCTGCCACCCACTGTACTTTGGTAGCAAGTCTGACCGAGCCATCCAGCATTCATTCCAAACATGGAAGGTCCTGCAAGAGGCAGCGTCATGAGCTTTTATCAAGGGACTGAGCCCTGAGGTACAGTAAAACTTTTGCTAAGCTGGTTTATGCTCCCTTGAAAGAGTTCAGTTCATATTGAGAAGAGCAGAGTTGTGTGTGGAGAAACAAGTGGAGCTTCTCCAGCTGGACTGGGTTGTCATTCTTCCTTTGTGGGCTCTAGAAATAGGGCACTCTTGAGTTTGGGTTGCAGCAGTTTATCAAGAACAGGTCTTGTAGACAGGATCTCAGCTGAGCTGTCTCCTGTCACCTCCTTGCAGCTGTTTTACTTCTTTCCCCCATGTTTCATTTCCCACATCCAAGTATTGCCTCAAATTCTTGCTTGGGCACTGCCATATGTTCTTACCAGACACGAGCACTGTTGTCCTGCGTGAGCAGTGTCCCATCTTCATCATAATACTCATCCACACTCAGGCTGCTCTTGGTGTTGTGAGCCCATGTAAAGCCAGTGACCACCCTGGTAGGAATTCCCAGGCACCTCAGAACTGTGCAGAAGAGAGAGCTGTGAATCACTTGTGCACCTGCCCTAAGGGTATCTCTGCTGATAGATGTAGAGCCTCTTCTGGTGCTAGGCCTGTCAGCAATGGCACCAGGTTTGCTGTTTGGACTTTGCAAGAGGCATTCCTCCCTCAGGAAATAAGATTTCCCATGTGCATTCAGTGAATGGATGCACTGATACTCTTATCTCAAAGGCAGTGATGCAGGGTGTTGATGAAACTAAAGATCTGCCTCTCACCTGAAGATTAAAGGTTGTAGCAGCACTGTACCTGAACACAGGACTGCAGCAAACACCCAGCACCTCCCGTAGCGGACAGGCTGGAATTTTGATGCAATCCACTGCTGGAGGATGGGGCTGCTTCCCAGCCATGTGGAAGGGGGTGTCCCATTATTGTGTTGCCCAGGCTCGTATTCTGTCAGGCTTCTAAACTCATTGCAGTTCACCTGCAGAAAAGGAGGAGAGAAAGATGTATTAAGGAATTGCCTCTCTTTGGTAGGTTCACCTGATCCTGTTTGTGGAAGCTACTCCAAAGCAGATGAAACCGAAAGGATTTTTTTTTGTGCAAAGCATGAAGGTCACAGCTGAGCAGGGGCAGCAGTGTCCTCTGAGATTTATTCAGTAAGTGCAATTTCACTGCAGAGAGCCTCCTGCAGCCCTACTTGTCTGCTGAGGGAGTATCAGGACAGGCTGGAGATGGGCAGGAGGTGTGTTGTTTGGAGCAGGCTTCCTCTTTGGTCAGTGGTTTGGCCTGACCTGGGGTTGAGAAGGTGCCCCCTGCTTGGGTCAGGGGCTGCTCTCTGCCCTCCTTACCATGGCAGCAACTGCTCGGCAGACATGGACGGGGTTTTTGCACTGGGCAGGATCCTTTTCTCTTTGGAAGTGCTCCCCTAGAGCCAGCAGCATGAAGCAGATGTCAAGCATATCCTCTTCAAACTGAAACAAGAAGACATCACTTCAGGAAATTCTCCATGAACTTTTGTTCTCTTGACTCTCTACAAGAGTTTGTGACTGTGCAGATTGTTTCTCCCTTTCTGCTGATAGCTTTAGGTGGCTGTGAAAGAGGACTCCAGGCAGAGATTTGCAGGGGGGGCTGAGGGTAGACCTCCAACTTTTTTGAAGGTGGGAAATGTATCAGCATGATACTGTGTTCCCTGATTGAGGGAAGTTGATGCTTTTCTGGAGCACTTTCTAGGTTGGCACATAGATACTTTAATGATCTGCTGGCATGAAAGTGAAATAATCACTGGCTATGTCAGATGGCCTTAGACAAGCAGAAAGATCTTCTTGACCTCACTTTACCTGTTATATAGAGACAGTATTACTGAGCTCTGTTAAATGATTTTATACCTGTTGATGAAATAAATGAAGGCACATAAAACTCAGATACAGATCAATGCATTCCTTTATAAGGACAGTCTGAGAAGGAAGCTACAATTACATGTGCTGGGTTATAGAATGTCATACACAGGTGCCTGTTCTCCTGCACAGGAGGTAGTGGGTGCAGAGAGCATGGAGACAAATAGAACTCTTTCATCAGAGCATCTTGGACACACCAGATATATGCACCTTTCCTCTGCTGGTGTCTGGAAGAGAGCACAGACCTATTGGACCTCTTGCTTACCTGACTGAAGTCCCAGGGTTGGGCTAGGATTGCATTTTCAGTCCCCTGGTAGATGATGCCCTCTTGGTTTAAAATGTACTCCTGTCGCTGTACCTCATTAGCCAAGAACACCTCATCATCTGGATTAGAGAAAAAAAGCATCAGGAAGAAAGCATTACTGGTCTCAGATGCACTTGCATCTCTCATGCATTAGCAGCAGATTCCACTATGCTTTGGCAGTCCCTGGCATTCTGCCCTGAAAAAATACCACAGATTTTGAATCAGACAGGAAAGAAGAATTTTATTTTCATCTCTGTTTCCTTGTCTGAAAAGTTCCTCTGGACCCAGGCTGTTGCATTGCTGGCTCTTCTACTCTCCTGGCTGGTAAGTTCTAATACTAAGAAAGATACAGTGGCCTTAACCACACCAATTACAATCTTGACTTATCCTAATATCTCTATTATAGGAAACACTAAATCAGTCTTTTTCCCTAAGCAGAAGGACAGGGCTCTTGAAGTGGAGTACTCCAGGGAAGAGACAAAAGTGCTGAGGCAGAAAACTTTGAGATTTATGAGCCCCTACCTCTCTCCTGAGTTACTGGAAGGAGCACTGGGTGAGTCAGCCCCAGCCTTCCTCCATGGAAGCAGTGCCACAACTCCAAGGTTGTTTGTGTGAAGTGACTGATCCCAGCCTGCCTTCCTGTTTCTGACCACCTACCTTGGCACCAGGGATTAAAGAGGAGGATGAAGCTGCCCAGGAGCTGAGGGGATTTGGAGGCACGAAAAAGCAGAGTGTACTGGCCAATGGGGGCATTGGCAGGTGTGTTCACACACAGGGTCCAGAAGTTTGGGTCCTGTTCCTCCACTGCTGCACTCCACTGCTTCTGGTCTCCCAGGCTGGAGATGGGAAATTCAGCCTGGATTTCATCTGCTTTGGAAGAATGTGACCCTGCAGACAAATAAATCTGGTTGTATTTATTCCAAACCTTGTGTTAATTCCTCACCTGTGCAGACTGCAGGGACCTTGTCTATCTCTGGAGCCATAGCTCTCCTGTGAGAGGGTCTTGACCCTTTAGCAGCTTAATGCCCATTGAACATTGCTAAGGTAGTAATGCACTCAGGTCTCCATGCTTGAAATTGAGATGCGCTTTCCATAAATTTGTAGAAACCAAGAATGGCCAGAATGGTGCAGCCCTGCTGTTCCTGTGGAATTTATTGACTTGTAACCAAAGTCACAGCCCAGTGCTCACAATATGGTAAAACAAGCTGGGGCTGAAAGCTGCTGCCTTTCTCAGGGGTCTCACTAGAAAACACTCTAACAGAAAAACCTGTGACAAGCCAGCCAGGTTTGAACATTCCTAACCCCAAAAGCCAGAAGAGACCCCATGAGTATTTTGCAATCATGGAATAGTGAAGCTGTATTGGTTATTGTGTGCAGTGTCCCTTCTGGAAGGGATCTGGCTGTGACCCTGCAGCAGCTGGAGACTCTTCTTTGCCTTCCATAAACAGTTCACTGGTCTCACATCTAAATTTGGCAACCCTGCCCAGCTCTGGAGATGGCTTTTGCCCCCAGCTCTGTTCTTCAGGTGGGTGAAGGAGCAGAGCTCTGGTAGGTTTGTAATGGCATTACCTGTCTGTACAACGAGGAAGGTTCTCTTCATCTGCTTCAGGTAGTTGTGTATTGGAACTGAGAAGCTCACAGTGATGGTGAATGGCTGTCCCCGCCTCACTATGAGCCTTTTAGTGCTGATTTCTTCTGTGTGGTGGCTTTTGTTATTCTCTGGGATCATGAAATCACATTTTTGGATGCTCAGACCTGTAGTATGAGAAGATAGAGAATGAATTTGGGGCTGTGAGCTGCCTGCAGTCAGGCCCTGAGCCACATTCTGGGACACAAACACCTGATGAGGTGTTTCTCCACCCAGATATTTTCCCCCTGCCTTTGAGACTTTCTATCCAGTAATGGTAGGGACCTTCACTCTGAGCTTGGTTGTTCTGGTGTTGAGCGACTGTTGAGCTGCCTTTGCTTATACCTGACATCATTAAGTGCACTGGTGCAAACTTTGCTGCTGGTTCAAATGCACAGGTGGTCAAACATCAGTTTTCCTACTTTTTACCACATTAGTTGACAAAGCCATGCAGGTGACAGGCAAGATCCTCCTTCTCCTCCTCCTCCTGTCTCCTACACAGGCTTTATACACATCATATGTGCTTCTGTCCAGCACCAGGAGACAGAAAAACATTGTCACAGCTTCAAGCACCCAGTTACTCCCTGTTTTATCTCAGCCTTTATCTCAGGGATCATCCTGACCTTATTTACCCCATTGGCTGGTAGCTCATCACTAAGGTCCTTGCCCCTGTGGCTGTAACTGTTTCCCTTTATGTGACACATGCTGTCACCTACCTCCCCTTGCTGACCCATGCTCCTCCCTCTCTTACACCTAAAAAAATTGAAATCCACAGGGCATTTCTCTGCTATCTAAATTGATTGCTCCTGTGCTAAAGCCATAACTGCTCTCTTTGCAGATTTCACCGTTCTGCTCTCTCCTGATGTCTTGTCCTGTCTTGTCCTCTGCATTGATACCTTCTCCCATTGTGGTTGTCCCTTCTCTATTGGGGACTCTTGCTGGATTGTGTGCTTTGTTTCTCTTTTCCCCATTTTTCTACATGTGATGTTTTCAGTGAAAGATTCTGGTCCAGCTTTCAAATCCCATCATGGCTGTCCCAGTTCAAAGCCCTGCACCAGTTCAGGCCTTATGGAGCCAGCTCTGACCTCATCTGTTTTCTCCTCTGTGATGAAGATGTCTATTCTGTCTGTCTTGTAGAAGAGTGAGTGATGTGGAGTCTAGCTCCCTCTCCATCAGATGACTTTTCATGGATCTTATTGTCACTTTTTTCAAGTTTGCCTGGAACCTGGACTGTCCCTGCTCCAGGGGCTCAAAAACTTTGTCATCTCTCTGTTTCAGTTGTGTAGTCTCCTTAATTCCTCCCACCCCCTCATTCCCTATGCTGAGGATTCACTTACCTTTGCTTCCAGGCCCTCACCTGTCTGCCTTAGCTGCTTCTTGCTGCTTCTCAGACTCCTCTCAGGCATCAATACCAGCTTTTGATTGCTGTGCCTTTTTGTGCAGTCTGCCATGCAAACTGAGCTCCCTAAGCCTTTGGAGCACTTGGCTCCTGCCCTGCAAGCTCAGCTCTTCCACAAGACTCATGAACACTGTCTCGGAGCAAGAACGGTTGTCTCTTCCTGACACAGCTGGCTAGTGCTTGGAACTAACCAAAATGATTTTTGCTTACCTTGGCCCATGGCTGGTTCTGGGTACCATGAAAATATTCAGCTTCTGCTTGCTCTGGTGGGCAGTGGCTCCTTCTTCCAGCTGTCTTAAAAACTGTCCTCTTGCAAAGTTGTTTGCTTGATTTCTTTGTACAGGGTGGGACGTGGAGTTGCCACCTTTCCAGCTTATCTGCTGTGCAGATGTTGAGGACCCTTTTATCTCTCAGACCACACTGAAGACAGGCTACAGATGAGGTGAAGTTCCACAGTGGGATGTGGAGCATTTAGAGACAGCCAGTGACAATTCTTTCAAGGAGCTGTGCACTGAGGACCCCAGAGTAGGAAATGCAAATCTTCATATGGCTCTAAGCAATGCACAGATGCACTTCCAGTGTATGTGTTGGAGAGCTGCTCTCCAACATTGACCCCAAGCTGCTTAGATCCTAAACCCTTCAAGGAGTTTAAAAATATAGTCAGTGCATCTATTGCTCTTGTGCCTAATTCAGAAAAGTAAAACCACTTAAAAATGAGAAAATTTATTAAAAGGAACAGCTAAATTTGTGTATCTTAATTCAGATTATTTAAAAATACTGTGCTGGAGACTTGGACTAAGTACATTCCTAAAGTTGCTGTAATATAAAAGGAATGTCACTGGATTGATAATACTTGGTCAAAAGACAAGAAATAAGATATCAGAAATTAACAGCTTTCACTCTGGAGTGAGTTATCAATAGTTTTGCAGAAACCTATGATCTCCAAAAAACTCAAAAATAATTTGAGAAGTGGATTACATAATATAGTCCAGTGAGTTTGGTGGTCTTCTTAGTATTTCTGTATTAAACTTTACAATTGTTTTATATACAAATGTTTTATATGTGTAATTTAAGCTAGAAACAAACTCTTTTGGGTTTTAGGCTTTTACAGCATAGCCTTAATTGATAGATTCACTTTCACAGAATAATTGCAGAGTGGTTGAGGTCGGAAGGGACCTCAGAGGTTCATCTTGTCCCATCCCTGCTCGAGCACGGTCACCAAGAGCTGCTGCTCACCTCTTGCAGTGACGAGCCCAACTCTGGCACAGCACTGCAGGTGTGGCCTCACCGGTGCTGCATAAAGGCAGGAACCACCTGCCCTGACCTGCTGGCAGTTCTTTACCTGAGGCAGCCCAGGATGTCATTCCCTTTTTCGTGGCATGGACACACTCCTGCCTTGTGTGAGCTTTGACTGCTCTGGCTTTATTACAAAGCCTGGTGGTCACCAGATTTGCAGAAATCGGCAACATTAAGCAAAACATTGGGAAAATCTTCAAGAAAATTCTGTATTTTTTGTCAGCATACATTGCTCAATGTCAATTATATGTGAATTTTGTATATGTCTTGAACTTGTTTTTTATATAAGGAGCTAAGCACAGTATGTGATGGCTGATTCATGCTCTTTCAGTCTAAGCAAATTTTAAACCAAGTGATTGTGCTCAAACTTCTGACTTTCTTTGCATGATCAATATTGTTAAATGCACCTTTGCAGTATATGTATGAATTTTGAACCTCTAAATCAGAGTGGTTTAGTTACAAGGAAATATTTATCCCACCATCACTGCCTTGTAATGGCTGTGTGTACACACAGTACCATCTCTTGGTCAAATTGGCAACTGCAAGTAGGATTTCCTGCATAGGATTTCCTGCACTTCAACTCTGAAAAGAGACCTTATCGTCCCTTTGTGTCTTTCTTGACACTAAAATGGGCTAAAAAAGCCCACGGAGAAGGTTAACACCCAAAAGAGACTTCTGCATGTAGTAGTCAAGTGTTTGTACTGGCATTCCATCTGGTGAGAATGGGCCCCCTGTCCCCAGGCTGCCCCTACATCCAGAGCTGCCCCATCCCAGGTGCAGAATCCAGCACTTGCCTTTGTTAAACTTGGTTTTGTCACTTCTCTATCCACTGCATCCCTGATACTTGTTTCACAGGTGCAAGCATAAATCCATAAAAACTTTATTACCTTTAAAAATAGAAGCTTAAAGAGTTTTGTGAGCATCTTTAATATCTGTGTCTCTCTCTGAATGTAGTGACCAAAAATTATATACACCCTTTTATTGTGTCTACATTTCCAGCTTTGATGTGGGATAAGCATGAATTAGATATGAATTTTTATTTTGAGGGGAATTTCTTGTTGCTTTAGAACAACCAGAAATACTTATGGTGTGCCTTTGGTTTTGTCTTTTACAGTGACCAGCGCCCTCCACATTCAGCACAGGAGAGCGACAGACCAAGAGGTAAAGCAGTGAGGCTTTGGTGGCAGATCAATGTGATTTGAAACCAGCAGCTTTGACTATTGATTTTTTTTTCTTTTTTAATGTGGATCTAGAAACTTAGAAGAACAGAATGATAAGGAGAAGCATTCACTACCCTGGAGGCTGATTTCAGTGTTTCAAGACCAATTCATGGCTATGAACGTGCCATATCAGTGAGTGCTCACTGGATTTTTTTTTTTTTTTGAGTTATTAGACTGGAATGAGGGCTGGCTGGGTCAGCCTCGTGGGCATGATCTTATTTAAACTGCATATTTATAAAGAAAAATACTGACAATTAGCCATATTTTACTCCACTGACTCCCACTGACTTCTGACCAAGGGCTGTGTAAAGATTGCAGGTTTGAGAAAAGCAATTTAAATCCTTCCTCGGGCCCTTACATGTTTTTCTCTGTAATAATCATTAGCCTAATTGAACAGTTGTCTCATGGCTCATGTAGGAAGAACGTGTTTCTCCTGCGTGGCACTGGCCAGATCTGCATTTTCACACTCAAAGTGAGCTGGGTGTGGTTGCTGAGGGCAGAGGGAAATGCTGAGGCTGTGAAAACCCAGCCAGTGTTGCAAAGCTTGGCACTTGGCACAGGCTCTGCAGCACTGGTTTCCCTTTGAACTGCAGCCTTCCTCTACAGGTACTTAATTAGGATGAGGTCATTCCAAGCTCGTGTGACAAATACTGTCTGAAATAATTGCCTGGATTGTGTTTAAGAAGGAATACTGAAGGAATTTGAATGTTTTGGCTGTACTGTGTGTTAAATGTAATGTCAGTCTGCATTCTTGGAAAATTTAATGAGATTTTCTGAAATACCATGACTACCTCAAGGCCTTTTCTGAAGCTAGTGGTGGATTGGTATACCCTGACTCTCCAAGATCCTGCAAGACTTAATTGATAGGTGCAAAGCTACCTATTCTCCTCTCCTTTGCCTGGAGAAATCTGAATTCCTGTGTGTATGTGTGTGTGTGTGTGTGTGTGTCCTTTTCAACCTTCATTCCAGTCACTCTGGGCTGACTAGTTTTACCAAGCTTCTACATCCATTCTAAGTATATGTGTGGGTGACAAAATATTGTAATTGATGTAATAAAATAGGACTTTACATGTTTTGAAGATTTCATTAGCTTTAAATCAAAGAAATATTTAAATGAGTCCTCAGTTTAATTTGTGTCACAGGGTCAGTTTGTGTGCATGGGAGATTCTGGGGGAATGCATTGCTGGACAATACTGACTGTCAGGAGAAAAAGTCAAATTGTCTCTTAGGAGCATTCAGATCTTTGGTTTATTGGCTTGTTAACTTTGCAAGGAGTGATTGGACACATTAGGGATTTAGATATGGGTGGCACAATGGCTCCCTTGTGAATGATGATCTGCTATAAACAGCTTTGTGGCATGAGGAAGAGTGACTGTTAATTGTGAGTTTTTGTACATCTTTCTGATGTCATTCTTTTTCTACTTCTCTACTTTTTGTGGCTTCTCATTTTTCCAGTCATAAGAAGAGAGTTCTGTTGTATCATTGCCATATCTTATTGCTGTGTTTTCCTTCTAACAATAAGATTAAATTATAAATTTAATTCTAGAATTTAATTATGTCAGCTACCTGGATAGTACTTTGGCTAGTACTGAATAAAATGTATTTCGTGGATGTTAGCCTGGAGAAGTGAAGGTTTAAAGGACACCTCATAGTTCCTTCCAGTGCTTAAAAGCACAAGGAGGCTGGAGGGGGACTTCTCACAAGGATGTAGGGAGATTGGACATGAGGGACTGGCCTTAAGCTGGAGGAAGGTAGGTTTAGACTGGATATTAGGAAGAAATTCTTCCCTGAGAGGGTGAGGCCCTGGCAGAGGGTGCCCTGAGAAGCTGGGGCTGCCCCAGCCCTGGAAGTGTCCAAGGCCAGGTTGGATGGGGCTCTGAGCAGCCTGGGATAGTGGAAGTGTCGCCCATGGCAGGCAGCTGAAACAAGATAAGCTCTAAGACTCCTTCTAACTCAAACCATTTTATTATTCTGTGATAATTAAATTTCATTCCATGAAGCTTATAAAACTTGTGATTTTAAATTAGATTCCTTGGAAATCCAGCTGCTATTATTGCTACAGGCTCTAGTGCTGGAAACCATCACACTTGATCCTCTCCTTCAGGTTTAATTATATAATGATTCCCACTAGTAATTGTATGTGTGAAGGCCCATAAAACAGGCTAGAGAATGAAAAAGGTGACACTGTCTTTACAGTATAATCTCTGGTACGTTTTTATTAGTTTCCGTTCATATTACATCACTTTATTTTCGCTGAGTAATCTGCATTTCTGTACTTCCAGACATAAGAATGCATGAACACTGCACCAGCCTCATAAACAGGCAAAGCTGAACTGTTGTGCAGGTTATATCACTGAGCAGGAGCCACCTGAAGCATCACAAATCCCTTAATGTCTGAAAAGTGGGTACAAACCAAGTCCACCTGAAGCTGCCTGGTGCCACTCCTGTAGGGAATGATTTCAAATTTCACTGTTGAAGTCTCCATGGGGGCCATTCTTTCCACACTAAAAGAGAGAATGCATTTGTAAATTAAAGCAGCTGAAAATTTCTTGCTATGTATTCTTCTGAGTACCCAAGTTTAAGGCTGTATCCTCTCTACTCCCTGAGCATCCCGTAATTCAAATCTTGGCAAAAGTGATGCAAAAAACTCCATCTGCTGTATGGAGAGTACTGACATGGTGGCATTTTGTTCAAGGCTGGTGCAGATGAAAGTCATGAGGTTGACAGAATAATTTTAAAATACCCACTGGTACTCCAGATTTCCCAGCAGAGTGAACAGTGCCCAGCCAGAAGCATTCACGTACCGGATCCGGAGTTGCTCTTTGAGCAGGCCACTGCCTTCAGCTCTCAGGACACAGTCTGTCACCTCATCACACAGAGGGTTGGTGAATGTCACCTCCACACTGACAGGCTTGTGTACCACAGCTGGACCAAGGACCTGCA